TACTCTAGATGGATCGAAGTACGAACAATTTACTAAAAGAATGCAGAATTCTGCACAAGAGCTTGATCATATTTTCGCTGTATTTGGATTTGCAGCGATCATAGTGAGCGACAATGGGCCTCCATGCAATAGTTTCTTGTTCAGAATGTTTTGTGAATCTCGAAAAATCGAACACATTCTTTCGCCGTCCTATCATCCTGCTAGCAATGGGCTTGCAGAAAGGGCAGAGCAAACCACAAAAGTGGTGTTAAGTAAGTAAACTAATCGAAAACGATTCTATTACACAATTACAGAACGGCGTGGAGGCGACCCAGCCCCAGGCTGAAAGCCTCGCTAATAAAGATAAATCAATCAATCAATTACAGAACGACAATGAAGAGAACAAAATTTTTCATCATCATCATCGATACACACATACTACAGAAGACATCATAATTCCTAACGGACGTATACTTTCTTTTTTTCATGTGCATATTTTTTCGAATATAAGAGCAAATAAAAATCTATTCAGTGAAGCTTATAACATAAATGCAAATGATTAAACATTAATTAAAAAGTTATTTACACTAACAAGGCAAATGGGTGAGCTCTAAAGCAATTGTTGTAAAATAGTTATCAAATCTTACATACATATTACATGAGCATTAACGGTGAAACTCGAATAGCACACAAAAATCAGTTAGAGTGCATTTCAACATTTCAACAACATTAAGATCAGGAAATTCTTTTAAAAAAACTTTATCAAAACGTTTGTCACTCAAGTACAACCAAAAGCTCTAAGAAAACAAAACATAGTTAATAAGTAAAACTGAGGTAAGGTTAAAGACTTGAACTTTAAAAATTGAATTGAAAGCATTCTTAAAATGCCGTACAAGTAATTAAAATTTAAATAAAGGAGGGAGATATGAGGAGTGATTTGATATACCTCTCATCTCTCTCAATATGAACTCATATACTGGATGGAAGACAGCTCAGTTTGTATTGACTATTGCAAATATCAAGACGTGTTTCCCATAGTGATCCGAAATAGGTAGAAAGTGTACCCTCGATCGTAACAATTACAAGCTACCATGCGTTTCCATTAAAATTCGCTTGTACAGTAAACTTTCCATTTCTAGATATTGAAGGGACCATCGAGATAGTTAGAGATCGACATTCGATTAGCTTATTAGTCTAGTAGTACGATTCTAGAAGCACTTCGAGTTCAAAAAGTGTATGCGTTTATCCAGTATCCAAAGCAAAATTCGATCGCTTACTTCAGTTGTTTCTCCGACTGGTGAACAAGATTTTTCCATCGACATATGGAGAGTAATTTGTTCCAGAATATTTGCTAACGACCATCGACATGGAGAACGATCAAAATAGAGATATTCTAGATAAATATATAGTTAACTGGATGTATGAGAATCTGTAGGCACTGTCCAAATCATTTGAAGAGGGAGGAATATCGAAATATAGAACATCGAGAAATGCAGAGTTGATTGTTATAGTAAAAATACATATTAATTTCAACGTGTGGATGTTCCTGGATGTTTCTGAAACTCATATGTCAATCGCTAAAAATCAGTTTCAGACACATTTGAACCATTTGCAGTTCATTAAATGTGTTCATCAATTTCAAAATTTTAAATAATGTCAAAAATGTACCAGAATAAAAGAAAATTATGGAAGTTGAAGTTCAGCGAAACTCAACTAAAGTTGACTAGCAAAATTTGACGCACGAATTTTAACCCAATGTAATATCATAGGTATTAGTACTGTCTTTCAACCAGAGCGCGCAAAGGCAAAACGAGCAAGGTTAAATAAATCGGCTTCAGCTTTCAAATCCTCTTTATTTCGGTGGTTGTTCCGCACAATAAAATGGTACTCAGCCACTCGAAGGTAGACACATTCACACAGTACAAATACCCAAGAGCTCCCGGCTAGCCATAACAAAGCCGCCCCAGAACCACACAACAATAACAAATCGGTTTGGTGAGAGAGCACGGCACGGCAGCAGGGCAGCCGTTTGTGAATTTGTGGCAAAGCTTCACGATTGCAAAATGTATTGCTCCATTTTTCTCCCGCTCCACGGCTGTCTGGCTTCGGTTCCGGTTGTTGTATAGGTGCCGACGCCACACAGTGCGAGCTATTAATCAAAGCAATTTTCTTTCTCGATTCTAATCCAATAACAAATGTTTCGCTGTCGTCAATTCATTAGGTATAATTTGATTGGATTTCGCTTATTTCGAGCCACCACTACCACCCTCACACTACCGGATTCGCCGTGGTTGCTCGGGCAGTGAAACAGAACAGAGATTTGCGATGCGGAAGTTGTGGTTTTCGCTGCGATATGGGAAGCCTTGGGTGGTTGGATTGTAATTGCTCTTCAGCTAACACCGGATAAACGTTAGTGCAGTGATCAGTTTTTTGGTTGTATCTTTTCTAGCTTTGGAAACGGTTCGTTCTAAAAAGCAAAGCCATAAAGAAGGGATTATGCTCCTTATTCACCGGGAACATAATTCAACCTGTCTAGTCAAAATCACCCGGTTGACTTCTGTAAGCTGAAGAGCAGTGTGAACACCGCTCTCGTGTATTCAGGCACTCGGTAATATTCAATCCTCTTTGCTATCTGAAGGCGGATTATGGACAGCTACGAAGGCTAAAAGTGTAGCCAATTTACATTAACACCGGTGAACCGGACATCGAGGAGCTAAGAGCAATTATTAGTACTAACCTCGGATTCGTTTTGTTAATGTTCCACGTGGTTCTGGCTCGTATGCGTGTCTATGAATCATTCCAACATTGACCGTATAGAAGGAAGGGTAATGATAACTAAGCTTCGTACTGTAAATAGGGCATGTTCTACAAGTAAAATTAATCGTATTCGTTAAAATGTATCTAAGCGGGGGGAAAAGTGACCTCCCTTATATATGCTTTGTTTAATAAGGGGGGCAGTGCTTAAGGCCACACCATTTTTTTTTAATTTGTGTGATTGACGGTATACGCAGGATGATGGAAAGTCTGCAATTTCTTCAAAAATTTTTACGTTGTCTATCAAGTTATGAATCCTGATCAATCTTGAAAAGTTTGATCCATATGAAGATTGTATGGGAATTACTTTGGGAAAAGCAAACTTATTTTTAGTGATGTGCTAGCATATATAGGAAATTTAATCACCTACAACTTGTCCTTGAAGAATTAGCATAACACTTTTTCTCATGGCAATATGGTAAAATGCTAGAAGGAATGAACAAAAAAACGATTTTCCCATAATAATTCCCATACGAACATAAAATAGTTTATTCAAAATCAGTTTCTAACTAATCAGCACCCGAAGCTTTTTGAACGCTGTTTAACGAAAATTTTAAATTGCCTCTCAAGCAATATTTGGGCCCATAACTTTACTGAACTTTTATACCAATCATGTCACATTAAAATTAAAAGAAATAGATCAAATTCTTCTCGGATGATAACGATGAAAAGGGTTCAGTTGGAAGACAATGAAAGTTTTTATGATGCGAAATTCCATTATATTATGTATGTTTGAAACTATCAAGGATTGTACAAACTTGTTTTAGAAGTTAGTGGGCGTAGCTGCAAAAAAATAAGTTTTGGTTTCAACTTTTTCAAATTAATCTTATTGCATTCATAATATATCTTTTTTGACGTAGGACTACGTCTTTGATTTCTATATGAGGGTACACTTTGTGAAAACTGAAAATGGAACATGTAACAAATTATGAAAGATTTTGAACGTTAATAACTCAGCTGCCCCAGAACCAATTTCAATAATTTTATCACCAATCGATCAGGGATACGCTTACGCATCGATATCAATGACTGTTTATGTTCAACAATAAACTATTAAAAAAGTAGTAAATGTCAAGCATTATCCAAAAGGGTCTTAATAATTAATAAATCCACCAATTACGTACATGCATATGCTGCTTCCCCAGCACAGTCGTCAGAGAGTAGTAAGTAGACGAAACATGTCGATATAGCATTACGACGAGGTTCGGTAGTTCAGTGGCTACCGTTTCTGCTTACTGAGTTTAACCGATCGCGTCACTTACCACAGTGAATCCTAATCTAAAAATAACCTACCTCACTTACACAACTATCCTTCCCGAGATAGCCGTGGAGATGTAGAGGTATTCTCGGTCTCTAGTAACAACCCGACGTCGAACTAATCATCCTTCCCTCCCCCAAAAGACCGGGAGGACGTGGCCGGCGCTGTGAATTGATATATAGAATGAATTAATGTGCTTGTACGTTGATGATGGAAAGCTTATTCCATGCACCCATCTATGTAGTTCTCTGTGCAAGTGGATTAGTTGTGATCATTCACGAAAGAGCAACTACGAAGTGCACGGTCAGATAACGATAACTCGACGGCAAACACATTCATTGATACGTTTATTGTTGTGGATGATAGAAGAGCATAGCAGAAATAGTGCGAAATAGGAAGCTATGGTCATCGCAAAAGAGGAAATCGAAAAAGCGAATTGGCTTTCACCCTTCTGCTTCTAAGCCCCTTAAAGTCATCGTCATAGCATCGCATCGCTTTTGGTTCTAGGGCACTTGCTGGTTGCAATTTTTAGATCAGGATTTACTGTGATGCGATCAGTTTTAAGCAGCAGAAATTTCCTTCCCAACTCTCTTGTGGAATCTTTTAGTGACTCTGAAAAGGGCCGGTTTAGATAGATTTCGACGGAAAAATTAAGAGCGTTCACCACAAATACAAAGAGCCAGCTGAATGTCCTTTGGCATAATTGTGACACGCTTGGCGTGAATGGCGCACAGACCGACCAGATAGGTCGGTTTATTTCACTCATCGAGGGTATACTTATACCTGCGTCGAGTAGCATATTATTAATACAAGGGGGGTACAATACATACAGTGGGAAGCAAAATACTGAAAAGGGGAGAAGTTTCGCTTCTTATGCTACGGGCACAAAACGAGACACCACCGTCGAAACGACTATCAGTTATTCTCTACCGAAGCGAACAGCTAAATTATGGCACCGAAAACCAGTGGAAAGGCCGCCAAGAAGTCCGGAAAGGCGCAAAAAGTCATCGTCAAGGGAGAGAAGAAGAAGAGGAGACAGCGCAGGAAAGAAAGCTATGCCATCTACATCTACAAGCAGGACCCGGACACCGGAGTCTCGTCGAAGGCCATGAGCATCATGAACAGCTTTGTCAATGACATCTTCGAACGTATTGCTGCTGAGTCGTCCCGTCTGGCTCAATACAACAAACGCTCGACGATCACCTCCCGCGAAATCCAAACTGCTGTCCGTCTGCTGCTGCCGGGTGAGTTGGCCAAGCACGCTGTCTCTCAATGAACCAAAGCCGTCACCAGGTACACTAGCTCCAAGTAAATTCGTACCATCCAAACAATCAATCGGCCCTTTTCAGGGCCACAAATCGAAACGTGAAAGAGGTTTTGATGATTTATTGAACATTTAAATGTTCGAAAGTAGCGTTAGCAAAGTTCGCGATAAGAAATCAATTGATTTGCCTTATGAAAATAATTTTGACAAAAAGAATAAGAGGTTGCATCCATGACACGACCGTCTGTGATTTCTAAACGGGGGTACACATTGTGAAAACCGAATATGGAACATGACAACTTGCAGTCAGCAGATCGTTCGATTTCTGGTAACGACGGATCTCACGCAGAGCGACAGTTCCTGGCCGGTTGCGATGAGACTTCTTCACTCCTCCATCTGTTTGAGAGGAGCCTTTCCTCCGGTGGACTTACGAGCGGTCTGCTTGGTGCGGCCATTATACGTTGTGGATACGTTGAACGCAATTGTTGAATAAAAATTTTAATGGCCAAGGCATTGGCTCCAAGCAATATATCATCAGATTCAAGACAAATCTGTACGATAGTAAATAGAACAGAAAATGAAAATATGAAAATGAGGTAAGGAAAATAATTAAAATATGGTTCAGATTAATACCTGGCTGAATAAAGATACACATTACCATTTATTATATAAGACCACGTAGTCCTACGTCACCATTGCGTACAACCCCATAGGGCTGTCCCTTGTAGTTTTTTTTTTCAGTATAACCTTGAGCTTCGATATACTTACTGACAATTATTCCAAACGTCTTCAAAATTTGCCTAGAGTTTGATTACTTAGTAGAAGTCGATTCAATTTCTGATCGTCGACAAAGTTGTTCAACATAGTTTTCCCAAGTTTGATAAAAATTGAGCAATTTTTTAAATTTTTGACATGCAAATTAATAGTATCGTTCTGTTTCTCATTCATTTTGGGATGTAATTATGGCTAACCTTCTCCTGAAAGCTGTCCTACTGAGCCTGTTTTAAAAGCAATCTTCCAATTGATTGACGCTGGATGAATTTCAGTTCTGCTGCAAATTGTCTTTTGCCTTCGACGTCAATGCTACGGGAATGTTGATAAAGATGGACATAGCAAGAAATATGGACACAGTGGAAAGATGATAGAATCCACAAATGGTCATTATTATGATCATTATGCCATTCCAATTCGATTTTTTGATGGCACGAATCTCAGATACTATAAAGATTTCGTGTGCGAAATTAAAATCGCTCTTTTGCTGCACTACTCCATACATGAATATTACAATTTGCTGCACGAAATCTTTGTAGATCCTAGTAGTGATGCATCGAGCTATTCGGCCAGTTATTCAGCTTATACACCAAAATATTATCTAATATTCGACCTTTTCTTAACTAACAAGTGACCGACAAGGTGTTTGAGTGAAATTTCGGGAGTGTGAAGCTTCGGCCGAATACTACATAAGTAATCAACAAGTCCGTTAATATCCCGATAAGGGCCCTTTTTGCAATAAAAGGCTGATTTACGGCTTTACTTTTTTTATATTAGCCTTTTTTAATTTTTTATTTCATTTGTTTTTCGTCGGTCTTGTTTTCCGTACTCAGTGCTACCAATGCTACCGACGCCAAAGAAGCAGCTCCCATACCTGGACCGTACATATCGATCCATCAACTTATGTACCGGGGACCAACGGCTTTACTTCTCTTCCGAAAGAAGGCGTGTCAGAGATTTTTAGTAATCACGCTTACCATCGAGCTTATCGCTACACCACCGACGCCGCTTCAGCATTGATGGGATTGATGGTTATTTGGGTTGCAGTGGCCACGCAGCAGCTACGGTTCTTCTGCATGATCCCGGTTGGTTTCATCAAATGGGTAGCTTATGCGCCACCTTCGAAGAGGACCACCCGTCGTGCTTCACGATGCCCGGCTACACACTAAGATTTTTTTTACAGGAGTCAGTATTTTTTACTGGGTTTTTGAATTGCTGAAAAAGTCGGTAAAAATTCAAATGACCGTTATCCGTAAGGAATCAATGAAATTGTCCAATTTTATTTTCTATCATTAAATGGGGTTAACATAACTAAGTATGTATATACAAGTTCAGAACAAATTTTCTTATTAATAAATTTTCCACAGATTTTTAAACTTTTACCGAACAGTTCCGCAATTCAAAAACTCAGTAAAACCGTACTGACTTGATTAGTGTGTAGATACTGGCCAAAAGAGCCAGATCTGAAATTAGTTACCAGCATCGGGAATAAGACTACTCGAGCGACTCAAAAAGGAAGCGAACATACACCATTGAAACCCCAAAATCTAACTACCAAGCCCATAGAACTTCTAATCAACAAACCAATCCAAACAGAGGGGTATCATCACTGGCAGCTATTCCTCTGACCCATTAATCCTTTCCTAATCCGGAAAACGAACGCACAACCAATCCAATGAATTGACGAATAGACATTACCGAACGAAAACGTGAAATAACCATCAGACTCTCTCAATCAAACTTTCTAACACTGAACACGATTAACTCTGTGGGCGGGCAAGTTCCGTAGCTACATTTATTCAGTGAGCTGGATAACCTAGGTTTTATTACACATGGGCATACATGATTTTGAACTTGGCCGGCCTACTTACGGCTTCCTGTATCTTGTGCGGTCGATACTAGAGGTGAGCAAAACAGCTCATCTGGCTGAGTGGATAAAACCCATCCAGCTCACTAAAGGGAGTCGATTCTTTTGATCAGCTCTTCAGCTCACATTGAAATTATAGAAATTATGACACAAATTCAAAATCAGAAAATTAATTAGTGGTTTTTGTGCTTAAAACTGCATTAAACCTTTTTTTTTTCTTTATTAGAGTGAATTTCAGCCAGTGGCTGGTTCGTCACTTACTGCATAAAATCGTAAAAGTAGTCTAAACCAATAAATCCGTACCTTACAACATGGCTTTACTTTTCAATGGAAAACGCTACTAACGCAACAACTGATCAACCATCGCGTAAACCAAAATGCGCGCAAAATGTACCAACAACAGAGCAGTAAAACAAAAAATGTATGCGAGAGAGCTGCACCTTTGTCACACACGATGTTATGATTGACATCGTGCCACACGATGTTACGCCATTTCTCAAGCTATGCAATCCAGTCTACATTCAAATTTTATTTCTGATGTTAATTCTCCAGCAGAATTTCTCTCACTATTCTCGGCATCAGCTCAGATCCGCTTCCGGAGCTGAACCGTGAAGAATCGAGAGAGAAAAAAGAGCTGGACCGGTCCGAGAGCTGGACGAGTCTGAGAGTTGTCATCCTAAACAGCTCCCAGTCAGAGATGATGTTAAATAAGAGACGCGCGAAGACTGACACGAAACATTCCAACCGAACCGTCAAACGCGGTTCCAATCGAGCAATGTAAATAATCACGAGCGCTTCACGAAGAAAAGCATGGGAAGTATTGAGATTGGGGTTGAATTTAATTTTTGAGGTTGGTTGTCTTTATTAAGGAGATTTTCAGCCAGACGCTGGTTAACTGTTGAGATTTAAATGATTATAATTAAGTTTGCTTATGAAAAGTGAAATTGGACAGGGCATATTATTGTTATTCACCACCTGTATACTCGTTATGTTCTCACGAAATATTTGCTCCAGCACAACGAAATACATCTACACAGGCTCTGTAACGAAGATCAAGGTGTTTCCGGTGTAATTTTTCGAGATAGTAAAATTTGTTAAAGACTTCAAAAGAGAGATTTAACTCATACATAATAGGAAGCTACAATCGCAGATTGAATAATTTTGTGCAACGCTCTGTAGAATATACCCTCCAATGTGGTATATTTGGTTTCACTCAGAGTTGTCAAAATTAAGCCTTCAAATACTTCCATTGAATAGCGATACTACCGATACGGTTAAAAAAGTATTCATTTTACCGGGATGCTGAAATAGACGACAGTCGCTCAAATTAAAAGTTACTTGAAGTAAACACAAAATTGCGGGTTGCCAAACCTTGCAGAGAAAGAAATTAGTTGGCCGTGCAACCAGATTTACTTTTATTCTCTCCGCGCGTCTCTTACAAAACATCGTCTCTGCTCCCAGTGAATCATTCGAGTCGATGATTCGCATCCGGAGCTGAGCTGATAAGCTGGAGACTTGCATTTCGCTTGCGGATCTTCCGCTCCCCCAGAGAATGATGGGAAGAGAGGTGAGAGCACATATGCTGGAGGTATAACATCAGCAATAAGAGCCGGGTACATAAATAAATTGATATTGATGCTGTCGATCAGTAGGCACATGTTGTATTACCCACGTGTCTTGGTTTACAGTCACCACCAGGGATGGAAAATCATTTACATTCATTTCGTGCATTCATTTACATTCATTAACCTCTAACTTTTTTCATCAACAGAATTCCGTAAAATAATGTTTGAAGCTTTTGTAGGCTTTGATATTAGCTACATCTTTTGTAAACAACTCAAATCTGTATCTCTTGTGCATGATGATTCAGAGCGATAAGAACGCACCATTGTTTTTCAGTGAATGTAAATTGCATTCACTGAAAAACAATAACATGTTCTGCCAGCTCTATTTCGTCATGCATAAAAAATTCAGATTTTAGTTATTAACAAATGTTGTAGTTAATATCAATAGCTACAAACATCATTTTACGGTATTCTGTTGATGAAAAAAGTTAGAGGCAAATGAATGTAAATGAATGCACGAAATGAATGAAAATGATTTTCCATCCCTGGTCACCGCTGTTCAATGCGTAAGCTGAGTAATGAGTCCTTTTTGAAAAGTTCCGCGATGAGTGATGGATTGAATGGTTTAGACTTGTGATATCAGTGAGCTGATGAGCTGCGGTTCCTAAAAAATGAACCGCGAGTCATCAGCTCACTTTAGAGAATCGGGTCAATAGAACAGCTCGGGAGCGGATCGCCCATCTTTAGTCGATACTACTTTTCGCCTATTGCGCCTGTACAAAGCGTGTCCATGCTAACGGTCTTGCATG